TTGAAAATAAAAAATGAATCATTAAGAAAAAATATCTAATTAATTAAGTAGGTAGGTAGAAGGAAAAAATGAAGAAAAAAATATATATATGATAATAAGAAATGAATTATGAAAAATGAAAACAAAAGTTGAAAATAAAAATGAATATGTTAAATTAAGAATGAAAAAATACACAAGCATAATAAAAAAGAAAATTAAATCAAATAAAAAGCTATTAAACAAATACAAAATAAATATATTCTTTTAAATTCATTTTCATATTAAAAATATCAAAATAATCTATTTAAACAAAGAAATGAATTACATATTTAGTGTATTTTGCTTAACAAGAACCTAAGCTTGATGAACTAATTGAATTAAAATAATTATAACCTTTGAAACATAGAAGAAAATCAGTTTTTCCTCCTTATTAATTAACTAATCAATAAGCAAATAAACAAATTAATTATATATTTTGAGTAAAAGTATGAAATGTTAAGAAGTTTATAAAATAATTAATAATCAAAGTAAAAGTTGAAAATATAAAAAAAGTAAAAGTTAAATTAACTAACTAATAAAAAATAAGAGAAATAAAAAAATAAAATAAATGAAGCAAAATTGATTGATTATTGATTTAATAAATGAATGTTTCTTAATAAATAAGTTTTTTATTTTCACTTAATTGATATTATTAATTTAAATATTTATATCAAAGAGACTATAAATTCACATCATTTTTTTAAAAAATTTATATTTTAAAATAAATAAATTTATTTAAAAGATTAATAAAATGAATAAATCAATTTTATAAGAATTGCAAAATTGATTGATTATTATTTTTTTAAATGAACATTTTTTAAAAAAGAAGTTTTTTATTTTCATGTTAAAGCAAATATTAATTAAAAATGTTAATATCAAGGAAACTATAAATTTCCATTACTTTTTTTTAAATTTATATTTAACTGCTATATTTTGAACTATGTTCTACTTTTCTATTTTTTTTTGGTTATTCATCTCTTTTATAAAATATCTCTTATATTCCATATTAAATTGTGAAAATTATTATTTTCATATTTTTCATACCTACTTTCATAAATACTGTTGACTAATGTCACCCTTTTTTAGGATTTTTACTCTGCTTTTTTATGTATATCCTTTCAAAAAATTATGCTTTTGAGGATTAAAAATTATTGTTTAAAATTGATAATTGTTTTTATTTCTTTTTTTTTAAATTATGATAAAAAATTGAATTATTTTAGATAATGTCTATTTAAATAAATTGTATTAAATTTAAAAATAAAAATAATAAAATATTATTAATATTTTTAAAAATAGTTAAAGAAAATCATTCACTATATTTTTATCAAGAAAAAGACAAAAATAATAAATAAAATTTTATAATTTAAAAAAATCAGTTTGTAATTTTAATAAAAAATAAATGACTATTTGGAGGTGTAAATTAATGATTATTTACAATATATATTACTAATTATTCTTATTGTTATTTATTAGTTTAATTAATTAGTCTAAAAATTATTTTTGTATGTATTTACCAGTCAGTATAATAACCTTTTCTTAATATTAGCATAATCAAAGTACTCTCTGCTATTATAATTAAATTTAATTTATTTTGGTGTTAAAGTAAAAGTAACCGCTCTGATCTTATGGATAGCTATGTAATCAATTACACAATTATAGTTAAAAATGTATAATAATTACTTATTTTATTCATAGGATAAATACTTATCGAAATTTTATATTTGATAATTAGTTATTTGTTTATTGAAAGAATATTTCCAAAACCTCTTATCAAAATAATCTAAAATATATAAGTCTATTTCAATATAATGTATGAAAAATATTATAATTGCACAATCTATTTTTTCTGTATTAAATTAATCCTACTTTCTCTTAACAGGATACCTTTTAAATTAAATTAATTTTTAGATTTATTCCTAAAATTTTTAAAAAGATATTTTCAAAATTGGTAATTAAACTTTTAGCCACAAATTAATTTAACAATATTTATTTCAAGTTATCATCAATAAATAAATAAATAAATAAATAAATAAATAAATAAATAAATAAGATCTACTAATAAAAAAAGAAATTTATATTTATTGTATTTTGTTAGCTTTATAAGAATGAATAAAGAAGGCTCTATTGACATGAAAAACATAAAAGGTGAGATAATTTTATTAATATAATGAGAAAGTATTAATAGTTTTTGTTATATATGAATGAAAATTTTTCATTTTATATTTTATATTAAAGTTATGTTCGACAAAATTTGATCGAAAATTAGCTAAAATTTATTTTCTGAGTAAATTTTTTAAGGAATTTGATCTAAGTAAGAAATAGGAAAGTGAGGTGGTGGGAATAATGGATCAACGGCAATTTAAAAGGTTTGATCGATCAAAGAAAGCGCTAATTTTTGTAGAGAATAGCCATCAAATTAGCTATATTAAGGAGCGGGTTCTACATCATTGAGCCAAACTTGCCCTAATTCGTCAATCAAAAAGTCTATGCTAAATGTCTAGTTTAAAAATTTAAAAATAACATTCTGCTAGTTTATTAAAATAAGTTTTACTTAAAAAGCAAATTGTTTTTGAAGCTTGTCTGCTTTGCAATAGGCAGAGAGAATCACAGTTTGGCATATTTTCTGATTGTATAAAAAGGAATAATTTAGTTTAAAAATAATTGTCAATTTAATATATTAATTAATAAATGAATGAATAAAATAAATTTGTATTAGTGTTGATAGTTGTGAATGAATGCATATTTACTTTTATTTTCTGCATAATTATATTGGTATCTATTTGGCTAAAGTTCCCTTTTTGCTTTTAGTCGTTGACGTAGTCTTTGAAGTATGAAAACATTATCTTGTTATTTTGAGAAAATTCATTTTCATTTTAGGAGTATTGCTATGTGTTAATATTTGTATTATGAATGTAAATATTATTGAATTCTTCAGCTTAATAATTTTATGAGCTCATGTTAACAATTCCTTCATCATAAAGATACCCTTTTGAAATAATACATAAAATTGGTGTTTAAGATTTATTGTTTAGAATTTTTTTTGGAAATACCTTTGACATAGTCATTATAGCATGTTACTAGCAAGAAAAATTGCAATGAAATTTTTCTACCAACAAGCAATAAAGGATCTGGAATGTACTGCTATATAATAAAGTAAGACTATTTATGTTGATTTTGAAAATTTTCAATAAATTAGTCTATAACCGAATATTCGTTTGTTACTATTTATTAAAGAAAGTTTTATTACTAACTCAGTTTGATAATATATTTAAAATTCATTTTTATTAAATACTTCTTATTAGGGTCTTCAATTTTTTTAAAATTGAAATAGAAGATATTTTAAATTATTTACAGAAGATAAACATTAAGAAAGGTAAAAAAAATACTTTTATAATTCCTCCATGAATTTCGACCTTGTTACTTTATAATCCATAAACAAGAAGATAGAGTTTTTTGAGATGAATCAGATTTTCTTGCGCTAGTTTCATAAAGCTTTTAATTCCTCCACTCTGTTTTTCCTTGATCGCTATTTTTGGTTATGATGAAGGATTTAGGAATAATGTTAAAAGCTTTTTCACAGGAGTCATATTTTTGATTGTAGTAAAATTTAATATTATTGATTAGATTCTATTTTTATTATTAAAAATAAGTAGGTTCATTAAAAATTTTCATGAATAAATTAAGTAAAAATAAATATTTTATTATATCTAAAAATGACCAAATTTATGAGCAAATGCTTACTTTTTTTGAAATGAACTCTTAGTTTTCTTAAAGTTAATTAATAATTTAGTAAATAATTGGATTTTTAAGGATTATTAAATTTTTGTATGACTAGCTAATAAAGCATCCTTCTTAGCTGTTTTGATGGGAAAGTAAATTCAAAGGACCCTCAAACGATTTCTATGAATTTAATAATAAAAAAGGATATAAAATAGGTTATTTTAAATATGTCTTTTACTTCATTTTCTATCAAATACTGCTTAATGTGTTGAGCATCTCTATCTCTTATGAATTTCTATAACTGGCTTTCAATTTGACACTCTTAGTTTCCATAATAATGAGATTATTTTATGATTCCTTAGTCTTCGTATGAAGATTACTTATCTCCAGCAATGACGATATTTTCGTTGCATATTTCTTTAACAGATTTCATATTTTTGAAGAAATTGTAGTCTTTTTCGTCAGTCCATAGCAGTTAGAAATCGCATCCATTATCTCTTCCATCAGAGAACTTCCACCACCATCTTTTTTTTTTTCATATTAATTTAGATGTTTAAAAATTTTAAAATAAAAGTCACCTTTTTTAGACAACTTAGGCTATAAGTTGGGGATCGTTTTGTGTATTTAGTCCTATTTTGTAAATAGGGACGTGCATTTTGATTTTAAATGGCTGTATAATTCCATTGGAAAAGTTAATTATATCTAAAAAATCTCTATATTGCTATCCATATGCTTGTTTTTTTTCAATTTTGTCTAAATGTTCTTTGGGTCTGTTATTTGGGTCCACGAAAGGCTGCACTTCTTTATATTTAATTTAATTAGCAATATTTTTAGACGGTTAAAAAAATTTTTTTTTAGAAGAGGAAGACGAAGAAAGAGGTGATTTAGAATAGGGAGAAAGAGATTGAGCAGAGAGAGGTGATTGAGTTTTGAGTAAATTCATTTATTTAATTTTAGAAGTCTTTGTTTATTAAAAATTTTTAGTAAGCGGACATATTGCATTTGATTTTCTTTCTAATTGGATTTAAAAATCATCAGGTTGCTGCAATCCAATGAGAAACTTATTTAGAGAGTTGTTGGTCAAAACCTGCCCAGAGATTATTGAAGAAGCTTTATGACTAGAAATAGAACTTCTTTAAGAAGATTTATTTGGATTTGTTGAAGGATTTAATCTCGGTGATAGACCCTCAGTTTGAATTTAAAGAGCAGTATTCTTATGAAAATAGTGTTTATGAGCAATTTTAGAACATTCCATTTATTTAGGAGTAGATTGGTTAGTCGTGATACTATATTGTCTCTAAAGCATTGAACTAATCGAAAATCTACTTTATTAATTCTATTACAACTTTGAAGGAGAAAATTGATGAGACACACTTGGAGAGTTCGAGGACATCGACTAAGAATATTATGATGATTATGTATGTTACTGAGACTGTGTATTTTAGAATTAAAATTTTTTAGTTTAATGATGATTAAATGGACTTATGTTGACTTAATCAACTCTTTCACTAGCTCCAAATCTATCTTTATTAGTGAAAACGTTCAGCTGCGCATCCTCTGTTAAAATTTTTTTTTTTTCATTGTTTAAAAGACCTCTTTTTGGTGTTGTATTTGATTCATTTTGAAAGTTTTATTGGCTTTCTAATTCTTTCTTTTTTTCTTTAAGCCAAGTGAATTCTGAAGACAATATTTAAAGTACTTAAACCTTCTAAATACCATCATCTGTGTTTTATGTTTACAAATTATTTTATTAAGCTTCAATGTATTAAATAGCATTTTCAATTCCCTTTTTTCAAATATTAAATAAAAAAGTTCTTTCAATAGCAAAACTAGATAAAAAAGTAAGCAAAAACTTAAATCAAAATCATAAAAACAATAATTTTAAGATATTTATTTTTTAAAATTTTTGAATTTTTCACTTGTAAATTTATTAATTTTGAAAGCAAATTTTGTTAAGAAAGCAGCAGATATTGTAAACAAACTTTTAAATACATCAATGAATTTAATTATCAGAGTTAGATAAAATGTAAGAAATTTTATAATTTTTCTTAAACTCATCATGTATATGAATAGTTGTATAGACTATCCATTTTATTTAAAGTAGTAAAAATAATTATTTTTTTTATTTGTAATTAACTAGTTAATATTTGAATAATTGAAAGAAATAGCAAAATAAATATCAAATTTAGAAAAGAAAAATTAATTAAAAACATCCAAGTTATTTAGCTATTGCGAAATCTTACACTAAATAAAATATTAACGTTAAAATAGAAAAATTAAATTAAATTAGAATAGTTATCTAACCATTGCCTTAAAATACTTTATAATTTTTAAAAGTTAATATAATAGTAACGCTTACATAGTTAATATTAAAAATAGACAAATTTTATTTTAAAACGTATTTGTTTTACTGAAAATATCAAATTGTATTATGAATAAGATATGCGTAATATGATTTTTCAAAAGTAATTTATTGGCTTATTAACATGTTTTGAGATAAATTTTTTGATATTTTCTTTTTTAGATAGAATTTTACGATTATAAAATGAAAATAATTTATGTAGTGCTAGAATTATTTTATATCTTTTGGATTAGAATTAAAAGCAAAGAAATTGTTGTATTTGAGCTTTTTTAGCATAAATTGTGTATGAATCTAATAAAATTAATTTAAATTTGCATGAAATTAGTAAAAAATTAAATTATTTTTGCAAAATCATGTCGATGATGTTTTATATATGTAATATTGATTTATTAGTAGTAAAATGAACGTTAAAATACCTGAAACGAGCAATCAACTTAATTAATTTTGTCGCCTGGCGATAAGATCTTTTTTGTAAGCAAGCATAAGTTATTTAAGAAGTCATAAAAGAATGGTCCTGATTCACTTCTTTCATATTACCTTGAAGAGAACTAACTTCTTAAATCTTTAATTGATTTTATAATAGAAAGAGTATCATTTTAGGAGTTGATGAGTTTACTTGTTCCTTTTTTCAATGAGATTGAGAAATCTGTTAAAAAAAGAAAAAGAATTAATTGGCTTAGAGAATCAATAAAAAATAAATAAGATAGATAATTAATGAGATTTAATAAAATAGAATGGCTAAATAATATTGTGAGCACTTTATTAATTTATTTATTTATATATTAGTTAGTTTGTTTGTTTGTTTGTTTGCTTACCTGAGTCTTAATTAAAATCTCCTGTTAACTACCTCTTTCTGAGTGAATCAATAGGAGATTTTGCTTGGATAGATTAAGTATCATTAGGTTCTTGGTAAAAATAATTATTTTGTCTGAATTTCCTTTGTGGTAGATTTTAAATATTTTGTGAAATTTGGTCATTAAATGTTTATGTATTTTAGTTATAATTATATTGTTATGATTGAATTTCATCAAATTAATATGCTTGATTTTTTGGTTATTATTGCTAATTTACAGTACTACTATCATTATTTGAATAATTTTGATTTTATCGAAATTAATCTTATGCAAACTTTACTTGCAATTACTATCTATTAGGTGAGTTCTATTTTTTCAAAAGCGAATCTCTATACTTTGAATTATTTCTTGTATTACTACTACCTTGCTCTATTGTTTACTTTAGTTCTCTATAAAAAAGAATACGATTATTTATAATCAACAACTACAATCATAAAACTCAAAATTTTACTGAATCAGCTGGAATTACTGGCGCTAATTGGTTTTATCTAAGTTATTTTGTGCTGTAAAAGGTATCTCCATTTATGCTAAGTCGGTATTTCCTTCCTAATTGTTTTAGAAATTAATTGTTAATTGCGATTAGGCATTTATATCTGCTAAAATAAAAATTCAGTAGAAAAGTGGTGAAATTAAATAAGCATTTATCAACCAGTTAAATTTTTTTCTATTTCTAACTTAAAATCTTGTCTATTCTTTAAGTAAGTATAGAAAAGAATTTTATTTACTTTAAATATTTATTAAATAAGCAAATACCTTAGATTTCATTTATGATTATGTAATAGCCAAAATTTAATTCATGTCTTCACTTTAGTCCCCTAAAAATAAAAAAATGGAGAATTACAAATTAAAACAACATTAGGAAAACTTAAATTTTGATCAAGCGAGCAAATAACTACCTTAATATGAAAATGTCTAAAAATCAACAAATGCATTTTATTCAGAATTTAAAAAATTGTCCTAAAATTTATCCTTTTTCATATATGTTAATTAACAATCTATATAGCTTAATTGCTTTGTTTCTTTGTTTTTATTTGTATTATTTACTTAAAAATTCTTACTATAAAAAAATACAAGATAAATGAATTAAAATATTAATGAAGGAGTTATTCATTTAATAAGCATTCTAAAATACCAAAAAAAAAAAAATTTGTGTAATATAAATGCAATATATCTAGTAAATAATAAAGCAAAATTGAAATATTAAAAATGATAATTATACTAATTTTCTTTATGGATTTTGTTTGATAATCTTTTTTGCATTGATTGCATTCTGTAGCTATTATATTGTTTATAAATTAATTAAGGGTACAAAAAAGATGGCTATTATATTTTATATGAAATTATTTTATCTTATTTATTTTTTGATTAAAATTATCTAACTATAAAACACTTTTATTTAAAATAATCTTTGGCCTGTTTAAATACTTTACAAAGATAGGCAGTTAAAATCTAAAAATATTTATAATTAAATAAAAACTAAACAAACAAAAAAAGTATATTCAAAATTAACAAAAGCAACCAACCAATTAATCAATTGACAAATTGAATTGATTTCCATTAAATTCAAATCTATCTAGCAACTGAATAAAAAAATTAAATGTAGGACCAAATTAACTAAGAAATCGAAGAAAATAGAGCTCTGAGAAATAATTACAAAAAAAACATCACGAGAATGTTTATGAAGTTTCTTAGCACTGTAGATGAAGAAACCTATGATTTGATTAAATAAGAATTTAAAAAAAAAGTGCCAGACTTAAAATTTATTATAAAAAAGTATGACCTGAGAAAAAAATTTGAGAGTTTTTTCATGCATTTTCCTAGATTATACTTCTCATCAGAAATCCAAAACAAACAAGATAAGTTGAGCACATATTTTGATTGCGTAACTTACATGTATGAAGATATGTTTTTACCTAAAAAAAAGTGATAAAGATAATTTCTTTTCACAACAATTAAATAGAGTTAAATGAGAATTATTAAGAGAGATTAAATTTAATTAGTAAGATGGTTAGATTATTCAATAGATAACTAAATACATATAAATTTATACAAAAAATATTAAAATAATGTTATTATATGTTACAATAACACTCTTTTGCTTATAATTTACTTTGCAAAAAAACACTGTCTTCAGATTACTCTAATCTTAATTAATAACTCGCTTAAACCATTTAATCTATTTTAAATATAAATTAATAAACAATAAACCTAATCTAAAAAATGTTTATTGATCTTAAATTCGTTTAAATTGAATATAATTTTATAATTATTTTAAACAAGTTAAGAAATGTTTATAGAATCTCTACAAACTCTCAAAAGAAATACAATGAGTAATTGATTTTCTTAATGGATATGATGTCTGATTAATTGATCAAACAATAAAAAATACTCTTTTTCAATCCAAATAATTTGAATCTTAAAAAATTAGTCATTAATTTAGTCAGTATATTTATATATTTTATTTATGGTAAATAAAAAAATTTTATTATATCAATTTATAAATCCAAAAGAAATTTTCCTTAAACTTTTTTCAGTTTATTTGCTCTAAATCCGCTTAAAATAGAAAGATAGAAAAATAATGATATAGATAGATAGATAGATAAATTGGTTGGTATTTAGATAGATAGATAGATAGATAGATAGATAGATAGATAAAAAGAAAATGAGATAGATAAATAATTAAATAAATCAAATTTTTTCAATTCATATTTTTAAAAATATACAAAAAATAAAATTGAAAAATAATTAATTTTCTCAGACTTAATAAATAATTGCTTTAAATTTATTCATATTTATAAAACAATTAGTTTTAGGCTTTTTTTTAAATTATCAATCAACGAGAAATTTTTGAAAAAATCTAAGTATCTTTCTTTGTTAGTTTTTGTTTAATATAAAAAAAATATATTATTTTTAAATAAATTTGTGAATATTTATGTAAATTTTTAAAACATTTTCTTTTAAAACAAAAAATTAGATGATATAACATTATTTAAAAAAATAAAAAGCGATTATTATCCAAAATATAGTATAGTTAGTAATGATTATTTTTATTTACTAATTAATAATATATAAATTATTAGTAATAAAACAACATTTATTTATAAATATTTAAGTTAATATTAAAAATATTAACATAATTTAATAATCGAAACACTGATCTATTTATTTATTATCCATAAACATAGAATAGTAAGTTGACTATTTTTATTAATTAATTAATAAAAAACAAATATTTGTAAATACTTAAGTTTATGTTAAAAATATAAACATAATTTAAAAATAGAAACAGCGATCTATTTATTTATTTATTATCCATAAACATAGAATAGTGAGTTGATTATTTTAATTATTTAATTAATTAATCATATATAAATCATTAATCATAATATAAAATAAATTTGTATTATTTAAATCTAATATTATAAATATTTTCTTTAAAAACAAAAAATTTAATGATGTTATCTATTTAAAAATAGAAACAGTGATTAATTTATTTATTATCCATAAATAATGGATAGTTACTTATGATTATTTTTATTAATTAATTAATCATATATAAATCATTAATAAGAATATAAAATAAATTTGTAAATTTTTAATTTAATATTAAAAATATTTTCTTTAAAAACAAAAAATTTAATGATGTTATTTATTTAAAAATAGAAACAGTTATCTATTTCTTTATTATCCATAAACATAGAATAGTGAATTGATTATTTTAATTATTTAATTAATTAATTAATTAATTAATTAATAATATATAAATCATTAATCATAATATAAAATAAATTTGTTTTATTTAATTTAATATTAAAAATATTTTCTTTAAAAACAAAAAATTTAATGATGTTACTTATTTAAAAATAGAAACAGTGATCAATTTATTTATTATCCATAAATAATGGATAGTGATTTATGATTATTTTTATTAATTAATTAATAATATATAAATCATTAATCATGATATAAAATAAATTTGTAAATATTTAATTTAATATTAAAAATATTTTCTTTCATAACAAAAAATTAAATGATATTACATAATTTAAAAATAGAAACATTGATCTATTTATTTCTTATCCATAAATACAGAATAGTGAGTTATGGTTATTTACATTAATTAATAATATATAAATTATTATTAATAATAATAAAAGATATCTGAACATATATAATCAGATTGTCTATAATATCTTATTTTGTTTAAATCTGATTGATTTGACGATTTCTGCTCTTTATTTATAGACGCTTTAGAAGTTAGCGTTCACTATTAAATATTGTATCTTTCTTTAATTGTAATTGTTGTTCATAAATTAATATAAATAACAGAAAGCAAAAAAAAGTAGAAGTACTTACTTGATTAATTAATTAATTAATAAATTATTAATATACAAACTAAATAAAAGCTTTTTAAGTTATATTGCTCTAGAAATTTTATATTAGCAAATACAAATAGTTATGGAAGGAAATCTTAAGTCAATCAGAGTTTAATTTGAGGCAAATAAATTCAAACAGGTCATTACCTAGCCAGATCAGACTATTGGAGAACTCAAATCTCTTCTCTTAGCTAGGTTGTCTGAATTAATTAAGGGTTAAACTTTTGATGCTCAAAGTTTTTTGTTAGCGGATGAGGACGAGTTTGCTTTTTCAGATTCTGACATAGTTTCTTCGCTCATAAATTAAAATGACCTAGTTAAGATCATTGTAAATCAAACAGTTTTACAGTAATAGTAAGAGTAAAACAATTAAAATGCATAGAATATCTAAAAATAAACAGATACAACAAACTAAGATCAAGTGAATCAAGAGTAGCAAGGTCAATTAAATTAGGTTGAGTTATAATACAAGGAAGAAGATCCAGCTGAGGCTATTGTAGTTATTTATGATGTCTCTGGGTCTATGAAATCTGGGTTCTTTAATGACCCTTTGATTTCGAGAATTGGTGCTGTAAATGCATTTTTTTCAGCATTCGCTGATAAAACTTTAGCCTACGAATATAATCATATTGTTCAGCTATATTGGTTCGATGATAGGATTGAAAAGAAATGCGATTTTACTAAAGATATGAATCATTTTATCAAACTTGTCGATGATGCTAATCCAAGAGGATCTACTCGTTTATATGATGCCCTAATGGAGGGTATTAACAGTCTTCTACTAATAAAAAAGAAATATCCAAACATTATTCTGAGACTGATTGCAATGACTGATGGAGAAGACAACTAATCTAAATACAAGCCAGAAGAAGTTGCTAAATAGATCGTTATGAATAGGATTACTCTCGACTCCTTTGTTGTCTCTAAGGAGAGTTTTGGACTTAAAACAATCACTCATGCAAGCGGTGGTCGCTGCTATTGTCCTTAAGATCTCGCCGTTGGAATGAAATTATTTGAAATTGAAACTATATTATCAGTAAGAGCAAGAGATTTACCTAATAGTAATAATTTGCCTTTACAAAATGTAGAAATCAATTTAGATATCCTTCGTGACAAACCCTTTGACACAGAAGGAATCTAAGTAACTCATCAAGCATAAATCAGCAAATAAGCTGGCGATGTCTCAGACATTATTAAGAAGTATTAAAAAGTTATTTCCCAACCTCCTTAGAACAATTAATAGCAACCATAATCATCATCAGCATCAACTACAGCACAATAGAATTAAATAAGCCATAGCAGCGGTTGCATGAAAAGGCTAATAAGAGAACTAGAGTTTTTCCCTTAGTAGCCAGAAACCTATAAAGTAAAAGTCTTTCCCGAATAAGATGATATTACAAACTGGAAGGTATTAATGATTGGTCCAGAAGGCTCTAGCTACCATTAAGGTGTTTATATGCTCTATATCAACTTTCCTTAATCCTATCCTTTTAAACCTCCTTCTGTAAAATTTATTACTCCCATATATCATTGCAATGTCAATTCTCAAGGTAGAATTTGCATTGATATTCTTAAAGACAATTGGTCACCAGCTTTAACTATGGCTGCAGTTTTTAACTCAATAAGCGAATTGATGCTTCATCCAAACCCAATAGATGCCTTAGAGAGCAATATAGCAGCAGAAATGAACCATGAGTACGATCTTTACAAGTAGAAGTGTCTTTAGCATGTAGCAAATAATGCTAATAAACCTATGGAGCTATTAATGGAGGAAATCTTTGGTAAACAAGTTGACACTAGCTCAGAAGTTTATATCAAAACAAAAGTTTAGTTAACAAACTGGATATAAAATAATAAATTACCATGCTAAAAAGAGCAAAACCACTGAAAAATGACTTTTTAAAATAAACAAAATTAATTTTATCTAATTGAAAAATAAAATAATTTATTAAATATTTTTTTTGTATTTATTTATCTGAATTTTTCTGTACAAATAAATTTAAATAAAAAAAATTATTTTTTGATTTTCCTTAATTACGCAAATCCATACTAGTAAAATATAAGTGCTGTTCAATGCTTTTTGCAATTAACTTAAAAAAATTTTAATTTATATTAATAATTCATTATTTAGGGGGGGATTGACAGTGGTTGGTATGAAAAATGAATGGAAATATTTCTATTCTAGTACATACATATTTATTTCAAAAGTTCCCATAGATAAAGCAAACCCTCGAAACCTCCGATTTGCATTTTTCTAGAATATTTAGACAACATTTTATAATAAAAAACAAGATAATCATTTTAAAATTTATAATACCACATTAAAAAAAATTACATAAATTCTTGATATGAAATAAGCTTATAAAAACCCAAATTAAACATTAACATTAACGACTTTTAAAGTCATAGATTTATTCTAAATATTATTAAATTAAAAAATCAAATTCGTATTGTCTAAATAATAATTTAAAAAACAATTATTTTATGATTTTAAAAAATATAAAATGAAAAAAATGATCATAAGATAAATTAAAAATTTGAGGAAAAAAAAACAAAAAAAAGCATAATAACCACAAAAGTTAAAATAAATAGTAAAATTTGATTTCTCCTTGAGGCTTTATTTAAATCATAGTATCTAATTAATTAATCATGATAAATAAAAAAAGGATAGATTTATGATTGATTGATAATATTTAAGATTAAAAAATAACCGGCATATAAAAGCTTGGCATTTATATAATTTAATAAGATATAATATGAAACTAAAAGTTGCAAATTATTTGATCGTTTTTAGAGAAACCGGAGGGTTTGCTTAGAGGATTTAATTTATTTAAGTAAATTTAATTTTTGTATTTTGATAAATAATTTTTTTACTTACAAAAATATGAATATTATTTATAAAAATAATAAAATTTATCTATCTATTTTTTTTTAGATTAAAAACACTTTTTCAAAATATTATATAATATTATTCAAACATTTTATATTTATTCATCCTTTTTTCACCTGTTGTTTATCATAAGAAACATTTCTTAAAGACGACTAATCTTTTTGATTTAAGACACTTGCTTATTACTTTGAATTTTTAAGATTTATTCTTTGAGCTAAATAGTTTATAATAAAATTATATAAATTTTAAAATAAATATCAAAATAAAATAAACTTTTAAATTAAAAATTATTCTTTAAATTAATAAATAAGATAATATTAGTGTAATAAAAAAGATAAAAAAATAAATCAAATAAAAGTTATCAAATATATTCAAAGAACTTTTTTATATTCATTTTTATAGTTTATAATATCACAATCCAAAACAAATAAACTGTTTTTACCTAAGATAAAGTTTCAAATTTGAGAGATTAATGCAATTTGTTAAATAAGAACCTAAGCCTGATGCACCTTCATAACCAATTTAATTATCACTTTTTAAATTTGTTTTTATAATTAAAAATATCACAATCCAAAACAAATAAACTGTTTTTACAAAAGATCAAGTGTCAAATTTGAGAGATTAATGCAATTTGCTAAAGCAGAACCTAAGCCTGATGCACCTTCATCACCAATTTTATTCCTACTTTTTAAATTTTGAACAAAAAATATATTATTAAATAGTTAATTAGAAAGAAAAAATATGAAATAAAATATTAATTAATTAATAATAAAAGAATAAGTTGAAAATAAAACAATGAGCTAAATTAAAAAATAAAGAACAAAAAAAAGCAAGCACAATAAAAAAGAAAAAAGAGCTTTATTGTTTGTAATTAGTTTTTTTTATTAAAAATAGCACAATCCAAAACAAATAAACTGTTTTTACCGAAGATTAAGTGTCAAATTTGAGAGATTAATGCAATTTGCTAAACCAGAACGTAAGCCTGATGCACCCATTACACCAATTTAATTATCACTTTTTAAATATTGAACAAAAAATATATCATTAAAAAGTTAATTAGAAGGAAAAAGTATGAAATAAAAATATTAATTAATTAATAATAAAAGCATAAGTTGAAAATAAAATAATGAGCTAAATTAACAAATAAAGAACAAAAAAAAGCAAGCACAATAAAAAGAAAAAGAAAAAAGAGCTTAATCGTTTTAATTAGTTTTTATAATTAAAAATATCACAATCCAAAACAATTAAACTGTTTTTACCAAAGATCAAGTGTCAAATTTGAGAGATTAATGCAATATGCTAAAGCAGAACCTAAGCTTGATGCACCTTCATCACCAATTTGATTCCCACTTTTTAAATATTGAACAAAAAATATATCATTAAACAGTTAATTAGAAGGAAAAAATATGAAATAAAAATATTAATTAGTTAATAATAAAAGCATAAGTTGAAAATAAAATAATGAGCTAAATTAACATATAAAGAACAAAAAAAAGCAAGCACAATAAAAAGAAAAAGAAAAAAAGAGTTTTATTGTTTGTAATTAGTTTTTATAATTAAAAATATCACAATCCAAAACAAATAAACTATTTTTACTAAAGGTTAAGTGCCAAATTTGAGAGATTAATGCAATTTGCTAAAGTAGAACCTAAGCTTGATGCACCCATTGCACCAATTTAATTAAAACTTTTTAAATATTGAACAAAAATATATCATTAAATAGTTAATTAGAAGGAAAAAATATGAAATAAAAATATTAATTAATTAATAATAAAGGCATAAGTTGAAAATAAAATAATGAGCTAAATTAACAAAGAAAGAACAAAAAAGCAAGCACAATAAAAAGTTAAAGAAAAAAGAGCTTTATTGTTTGTAATTAGTTTTTATAATTAAAAATATCACAATCCAAAACAAATAAACTGTTTTTACCTAAGGTCAATTGTCAAATTTGAGAGATTAATGCAATTTGCTAAAGCAGAACCTAAGTTTGATGCTTTTTCATCACCAATTTAATTGTCACTTCATTAATATTGTATAAAAAATATATCATTAAATACAATAAGTTGCTATACAAATTTACAAAAAGTGAGTTTTATAATTTTTCAAAATGCCATTCAAAAATTTTGTTGTTTGGAAACGACTAGATAAGTGAATGGCATTTAATTAAATGCATTTGTTTTTAATTAATTAATTAATTTTTTAACTTAGCTATCTGCTATGTAGAAATAAGAAAATTCAATAGAGTTATTAAATTTAATTGAATAAAAATATAATATATAATGAGAAAACTGCCCTACAGGGTACATAAAATTTTTAGATTAGGTCTGGGGCCAGCCTAGGTTTTAAAAATTTATTTTTTTCAAAAAAAATGATATGTTATAAGAATATGAGATATATATTATTTCAAATTTAACATTTTGTGAATTTAAAGCTTTCAAAAAACTCAAAAAAAAGCTGTTTTAAGCTAATTTAGCTTTATTTATTATGTTATAAAGATTTATTACATTTCGCCTTTTATAAATTAAATAGGCATTTCACTTTATTTAATTAGGAGGATAAAATGAAGAAATAATATGAAATAATAATATTAATTAATAATTGATAAATTTAATAAAGAATGAAAAAATAAGAAATCATAATAAAAAGAAAAAGGAGAACAAATCAAATAAATTAAAAGAGACAAATTGAAAATTATAAATACAAAAAATTTTAATAAAAATAACATTTTTTAATTAAATATACCTAAAATTAATATGGAGAACCTAATGAGATAAAAGTGAAGAGCTTAAAAACTTTTTTTATTAATTTATATAAATTTAAAGGATGTTAATAAGAAAATTAATAATTACTTCTTCCAATATATTATATCTTTCAATCTATTATATCATTTTTTTTTCCTTCAAAAATATTGAATAGCAATTTATGAAATTTAATTAATTAATTATAAATAGATAAAAAGAACAAATAAATATAATAATTAATTATCAAATAATAATTTATATATTTGGCTTTATGAAGAGATAGATATCACAGAAAAATTAATTTAACATTTACTATTTAAACTTAAAACATATACTTAAAAATATATATAGTAGGAATTAGAGATGATCAGCTATTTATTTAGTCATATATATTTGAAAATATATAGCAGTTAAATTTATATATATACTGTAATTCCACAAAAAAATGGGGGTTGAGTCAGGTCTCTGAGAATCTAATATATTACTGGAGCCACTAAATTTTAAAATGGCGTGTAGCTATATATTTAAAATATTAAAAAAGAAATATTAATAATTGACTCCAAAAACATAGATTATTTTCAGAATCCATTTTCACATTTTTGATTTTTTTGATAGTACATACATATTTATTACAAAAGTTCCCATAGACAAAACAAACCCTCGAAACTTCTGATTTGCATTTTTCTAGAATATTTAGACAACATTTTATAATAAAAAACAAGATAAGCATTTTAAAATTTATAATACCACATTAAAAAAAATTACATAAATTCTTGATATGAAATAAGCTTATAAAAACCCAAATTAAACATTAACATTAACGACTTTTAAAGTCATTGATTTATTCTAAATATTATTAAATAAAAAAATCAAATTCGTATTGTCTAAATGAATAAATGATAATTTAAAAAACAATTATTTTAAGATTTTTAAAAATATATTATGAAAAAAATGATCATAAGATAAATTAAAAATTTGAGGAAAAAAAAACATTATAACCACAAAAGTTAAAATAAAAAGTAAAATTTGATTTCTCCTTGAGGTTTTATTTAAATCATGGTATCTAATTAATTAATCATGATAAATAAAAAAAGGATAGATTTATGATTGATTGATCATATTTAAGAGTAAAAAATAACCGACATATAAAAGCTTGGCATTTATTTAATTTAATGAGATATAATATAACACTAAAAGTTTCAAATTATTTGATCGTTTTTGGAGGAACAGGAGGGTTTGCTTAGAGGATTTAATTTATTTAAGTAAATTTAATTTTTGTATTTTGATAAATTATTTATTTACTTACAAAAATATGAATGTTATTTATAAATATAAAATCAATAATAAAATTTATCTATCTATTTTTTTTTAGATTAAAAACATTTTTTCAAAATATTATATAAAAAAATAAATAATATTATTCAAACATTTTATATTTATTCATCCTTTTTTCACCTGTTGTTTATCATAAGAAATATTACTTAAAGACGACTAATCTTTTTGATTTAAGACACTTGCTTTTTACTTTGAATTCTTATGATTTACACATTAATCTAAAAAGTTTATAATAAAATTGTGTAAATTTTAAAATAAATATCAAAATAAAATAAACTTTTAAATTATAAAATATTCTTTAAATTAATAAATAAAATAATATAAGTTCAATAAAAAAGATAAAAAAATAAATCAAATAAAAGTTATCAAATATATTCAAAGAGCTTTTTTATATTCATTTTTATAGTTTAAAATATCACAATCCAAAACAAATAAACTGTTTTTACCCAAGATCAAGTGTCAAATTTGAGAGATTAATGCAATTTACTAAAGCAGAACCTAAGCCTGATGCACCGATAGCACCAATTTAATTATCACTTTTTAAATATTGAACAAAAAATATATCATTAAATAGTTAATTAGAAGGAAAAAATATGAAATAATAAGATTAATTAATTAATTAATTAATTAATAAATAATAAAAGCATAAATTGAAAATAAAATAATGAGTTAAATTAACAAAGAAAGAACAAAAAAAGCAAACACAATAAAAAGAAAAAGAAAAAAGAGCTTTATTGTTTTTAATTAGTTTTTATAAATTAAAATATCACAATCCAAAACAAATAAACTGTTTTTACCTAAGGTTAAGTGCCAAATTTGAGAGTTTAATGCAATTTACTAAAGCAGAACCTAAGCCTGATGCACCGATAGCACCAATTTAATTATAACTTTTTAAATATTGAACAAAAAATATATCATTAAATAGTTAATTAGAAGGAAAAAATATGAAATAATAAGATTAATTAATTAATGATAAAAGCAAAAATTGAAAATAAAATAATGAGCTAAATTAACAAAGAAAGAACAAAAAAAAGCAAGCACAATAAAAAGAAAAAGAAAAAAGAGCTTTATTGTTTGTAATTAGTTTTTATAATTTAAAATATCACAATCCAAAACAAATAAACTGTTTTTACTTAAGATAAAGTGTCAAATTTGAGAGATTAATGCGATTAGCTAAAGCAGAACCTAAGCCTGATGCACCTTCATCACCAATTTAATTTCGACTTTTTAAATTTTGAACAAAAAATATATCATTAAATAGATAATTAGAAGGAAAAAATATGAAATAATAAAATTAATAAATTAATGATAAAAGCAAAAATTGAAAGTAAAATAATGAGCTAAATTAACAAAGAAAGAACAATAAAAAAGCAAGCACAATAAAAAGAAAAAGAAAAAGAAAAAAGAGTTTTATTGTTTGTAATTAGTTTTTATAATTTAAAATATCACAATCCAAAACAAATAAACTGTTTTTACCCAAGATCAAGTGCCAAATTTGAGAGATTAATGCAATTTGCTAAAGCAGAACCTAAGCCTGATGCACCGATAGCACCAATTTAATTATCACTTTTTAAATATTGAACAAAAAATATATCATTAAATAGTTAATTAGAAGGAAAAAATATGAAATAATAAGATTAATTAATTAATAATAAAAGCAAAAATCAAAAATAAAATGATGAGCTAAATTAACAAAGAAAGAACAAAAAAAAGCAAGCACAATAAAAAGAAAAAGAAAAAAGAGCTTTATTGTTTGTAATTAGTTTTTATAATTTAAAATATCACAATCCAAAACAAATAAACTGTTTTTACCTAAGATCAAGTGTCAAATTTGAGAGATTAATACAATTTACTAAAGCAGAACCTAAGCATGATGCACCTTCATCACCAATTTAATTATAACTTTTTAAATATTGAACAAAAAATATATCATTAAATAGTTAATTAGAAGGAAAAAATATGAAATAATAAGATTAACTAATTAATAATAAAAGCAAAAATTGAAAGTAAAATGATGAGCTAAATTAATAAAGAAAGAAAAATAAAAAAGCAAGCACAATAAAAAGAAAAAGAAAAAGAAAAAAGAGTTTTATTGTTTGTAATTAGTTTTTATAATTTAAAATATCACAATCCAAAACAAATAAACTATTTTTACTAAAGGGTAAGTGTCAAATTTGAGAGATTAATGTGATTTGCTAAAGCAGAACCTAAGCCTGATGCACCTTCATCACCAATTTAATTAGACCTTTTTAAATATTGAAGAAAAAATATATCATTAAATAGTTAATTAGAAGGAAAAAATATGTAATAATAAGATTAATTGATTAATGATAAAAACAAAAATTTAAAATAAAATGATGAGCTAAATTAACAAAGAAAGAACAAAAAAAGCAAGCACAATAAAAAGAAAAAGAAAAAAGAGCTTTATTGTTTGTAATTAGTTTTTATAATTTAAAATATCACAATCCAAAACAAATAAACTGTTTTTACCCAAGATCAAGTGTCAAATTTGAGAGATTAATGCGATTTGCTAAAGCAGAACCTAAGCTTGATGCACCCATTACACCAATTTAATTTCGACTTTTTAAATATTGAACAAAAAATATATCATTAAATAGTTAATTAGAAGGAAAAAATATGAAATAATAAGATTAATTAATTAATGATAAAAGCAAAAATTGAAAATAAAATAATGAGCTAAATTAACAAAGAAAGAACAAAAAAAAGCAAGCACAATAAAAAGAAAAAGAAAAAGAAAAAAGAGCTTTATTGTTTGTAATTAGTTTTTATAATTTAAAATATCACAATCCAAAACAAATAAACTATTTTTACTAAAGGGTAAGTGCCAAATTTGAGAGATTAATGCAATTTACTAAAGCGGAACCTAAGCATGATGCACCTTCATCACCAATTTAATTATAACTTTTTAAATATTGAACAAAAAATATATCATTAAATAGTTAATTAGAAGGAAAAAATATGAAATAATATGATTAATTAATTAATAATAAAATCAAAAATTGAAAATAAAATGATGTGCTAAATTAACAAAGAAAGAACAAAAAAACAAACACAATAAAAAGAAAAAAGAGCTTTATTGTTTGTAATTTAAAATATCACAATCCAAAACAAATAAACTGTTTTTACTCAAGGTACAGTCTCAAATTTGAGAGATTAATGCAATTTGCTAAAGCAGAACCTAAGCCTAATGCACCTTCATCACCAATTTTAATTTTATACCTTTATATATTTATATCATTAACAGTGTCTAAAATAAGGGGGGGGGGGGGGGGGGTTTATAAAAAACAATCAAACCAAAAACCTATTTTAAACACTTATTATAATATAAAATTAAAATTAAAAATTTTTTTTATGAATTTTTTTCCATCCTAGGTTTTAAAAATTTCTTTTTTTTCAAAAAAAATGATATGTTATAAGAATATGAGATATATATTCTTTCAAATTTTGCATTTTGTGAATTTAAAGCTTTCTAAAAACTCAAAAATAAAGCTGTTTTAAGCTAATTTAGCTTTATTTATTATGTTATAAGGATATATTACATTTCGCCTTTTATAAATTAAATAGGCATTTCACTTTAGTTAATTAGGAGGATAAAATGAAGAAATAATATGAAATAATAAGATTAATTAATAATTAATAAATTTAATAAAGAATGAAAAAATAAGAAATCATAATAAAAAGAAAAAGGAGAGCAGATCAAATAAATTAAAAGAGATTTAATGTTTTAAACGTAAGTTTTAATAGCAAAAAATCAAGAAAAAATATCAAATAATAAAAAATTAAAAATTGAAATGAAAATTAAGTTAAAATAGCTAAAAAATTTTTGTTTTAATAAAAATCAATAAATAAATAATGATGATAATTTCTTTTATAAAAATTATTTTTTAAATAAATTGAAAATTAAATATACAAAAGATATGAATAATAATAATAATAATAAAAATAATATTTTTTAATTAAATATACGAACGAAAATTAATATGGAGAACCTAATGAGATAAAAGTGAAGAGCTTAAAAACTTTTTTTATTAATTAATATAAATTTAAAGGTTGTTAATAAGAAAATTAATAATTACTTCTTCTAAGCTATAGTATTTTTTAATCTATTATATCATTTTTTTTCCTTCAAAAATATTGAATAGCAATTTATGAAATTTAATTAATTAATTAATTAATTAATTAATTAATTAATTATAAATAGATAAAAAGAACAAATAAATATAATAATTATCAAATAATAATTTATATATTTAGCTTTATGAAGAGATAGATATCACAGAAAAATTAATTTAACATTTACTATTTAAACTTAATATTTGTATTTAAACATATACTTAAAAATATATATAGTAGGAATTAGAAATGATCAGCTAATTTATTTAGTCATATATATTTGAAAAAATTCTAGCAGTTAATCTACATATGTATTCTATTTGTTTGTATGTAGCCTTCAAAAAGTCAGTACCATAGGATACTATATATATAATAAAAATCTATTATAATATAAAAATTTAATACCTAAAATTGAATATTTAAATTAAAAAATCATAAAACAAAAGAATTTATTCAGTAATCTGCTTAATAACAAATCCAGAAATTAAATTGTTAGTTTTCCACATTTATAGGAATTTAATTAACAGCTGGAAGTGCTATAAATAGAAAAATTAATTAATAACCTTAAATAGCTTTTTAATAAATTAATAAGTGAAATCTAATTAGAAATATTTAATACAACTAAACATAAGAATGAATATATTGATTGATATACATATATCAATTCATTGTGTAGAATTATTTTTATGGTTTTCTTCTATATTTGAATCTTATAATTTGTTTTCTAACTCAATTTTATTTGAGTAGATTTTTATAAAACTAAATTGGTTATTAATTTAAGCTTTGATAATGTTTTTTATTTTATTTTTCTGGAGACTTTTCTTTGTATTTTAATTTGATAGATTTGCCTAATTTTTCTCATTAATACATTAAATGATAGAATAACTCTTTCATAATTATTTTAAGGCTTATAAAATTAGTAGCTTTTGAGTATGTCAAATAAAAAGTTTTATTATTATGTATTTATACTGTGAGGTATTTGAACTAATTCTATTAATGATTTAATCAATGCCTCATTTGTATACTTCTGGTTTATATTGCTTAGTTATTTACTTAATATTAATGGATTTATTGATACTTTCTTATTGTAAATTCCAGATTTTAATGTACTTTTTTTGATGTTTTGTTTTGAATTAATATACTCTTTATGTCTTTGCTGCTGATCACTTTAATTAGCTGATTTTGACTAACTCTTATATCTATTATAAAATTGATTATCGTATTGAGTATTCTGATAGTTTACTTAAGAGAAAGTAGCTTAATTATTGGATCAATATTGATTAAAGATTTTTTGAGTAATTACATATTGTCATAATTTAAAAAAATTTGGTTACACTTTTAATAAATAAGCAATTACTAGAGGTTATTCATGTTCGATAATAATTATTTAGCTAAAATCTTATTTAAAAAAACATCCTGAAAAGTGTATTTTTTCATGCCTTTATTTCTATAAGAATTAGAATTCGAAAGAAATGTAATGAATTGTTCATATATTTTAATATTTTAAAAGTGAAAGATAAAAATGAAAAAAAATACTTAAAAAATTAAATAAATGAATGTATTATTTAATTTTTGGTTAAAAAAAACCATTAAATTTAAATATTGTTTACACTTTACTTTGTTTAATTTTTGAGCTTGTTAATTATAATTAAATTTCTTTAACTTTCTATTTTTTACTTCTTTGTTTTTAGTGTCTCATCTATCTTAAATGAATTTTGATATTACAAATTAATATTCAAGTATTTGATTTATTTTGATTAATAAATTTTCAAAAATCTAGACAGACGCTAAATTATAGACAAGAAATTCGAATTGAATTAAAAAAGCTAATTTTATCTAATCAAATTTCATCAAGATAGAAAGATAGTTATTTTCTTATAATTTATTAATTAATAATTCTTATAGATCAATTTAATAGTATTACTTTAAATTATTTTATTTACTCAATTATAGAAAATAAATAAATTATTATTTATAGATAAATTAGCTTTAAATCATAAAAATTAATTGAAATTACAGGATTAGCTATAATTAAAAGTAAAGTACAATATATATAAATATAAATATAAAACATATCTTTAAAATACATTTAAAAATTAAATATCAAAATATACTTAATGTTTCATTAATTTTTTTAACTTAACTTTCGAGAAGTTGTACTTAATTTTACAAATCATCAATCTATTATTGATAATTTTAATTTACTTATTTGTTAATATTTATTTCTTTATTGCAAATTTTGAAAATACTTCTAATTAGTCTTTCGATAAAATTAATTAAAATTATTCTATTTATGCAATTTCATCTGAATATTTTTATTTAATCGTTTTAAATTAGATTTTATTAAAATTATTAAGTCCTTTTTCCTTTTAAAAATCAGGATCCCATGCTAAAAATGGATGATCTTATCTAAAACCAAGCACTGTTCCTGTATAAACAGTTAAACCAGACTTAAAATTCAAATTTAGTAATCTTTCATACTAATTTTTGATCTAAATTCTTAAATATTTTTTAAAGGAAACTTAAAAATCAAATATCTTGGTTTAATGATTTAATTGATAAAAATTTAAAATTAATATTAAAAAAACTAAATAAGCTTCAAAAAATTTTTTTATTAAAGTAAATAGTGATAAGATAGATTATTTATTAACAAAATTAACAAATAAAGTTATATCTATTAATGAAGATATTAATAAGATTATTATTTTTTACGCTAATAAAAATATTTATTTAAATTGGAGTAGCTTCAAAAACTATATCTATTA